CACCACACACACACACACACACACACACACACACACACACACACACACATACACGCACACACACACATACACACATGTACACCCCATAGATGACTGACAGCTCTCGTGTCATTACGCCCCGTCGTAACGTCACGAGGTCGCGTGGGCCCGCCAATCATGCAATTATCGCACCAAACAACCCCTGCTCTGTCGCTCGCCACTAAACGTATTCCGACGGCTAACGACCGGCGGAGAAAAAAGGAGAATCAGATAGCGTCGCACCGCCGTCGCCGCGGAGACCGCTGCCGCTGCTGGAAGGTAGCCGCGCCTTTATGTTTCGATTAGCTATCGTTTGGCGCTTATCCGCGCGCGCCTTTCGCGCGATCTCGCGGGGGGCAGGGCCGAAACGCGACGACACGACGAGCGCACAATGCCACCTGGTGGCGGGGCAGGTGACACAGCAACGGCTCACGACACGGGGGGGTCGTGTGACGAGAGCGGGCCCCCCCCCGGGGGAAGGAGAGAGGTGCCGCACGTCCCTCCGTGCTCTCGCTGGCTTGACGGGCGCCTCGCGAGGGTGGGCAGCGATGCCGCGATAACATGCAGAGTGACAACTGGATGTAGATAATGGAATCGGTGACACTGCCAAGTCACAATGACGTAAGGGAAGGGGGGAACGTAATCACTGGAGTGGTTGTGCTTTCTAAGAGACGAGAGAGGCTGCTTCATGTTAGGCATAGTCGATTCAATCATTCAGCACAAAGACAGACAGCTAGACCCAACTCGTCAACATCAACTCAAGGCTTGTTGACAGGTCAACATATTTCGCCTTATCGTGAAATAAAATTACTCAATTAAATTTTCATGAAATCAGATGAATTCAACTTATTTCAAATATTAGCTTGAGCTAATACTTTATCTTTGGCTGATTATAATTCACTTATATTGAGTTTTCATGAATTATAAACAATGTTATATCGAATGGGATCCATGCATTTGATAGACAACGACTTCTAATAGTACCAGTAATTGTTCTTGGTTGGGAAAGTTTTTCATCAATAAACTACACACTTCCCACTATTAATCTCTACTAACAACTAATACTTCACTACCCTAAACATTACTAACATAAGCGAACGACTGATAATACATTCTAATGAATAAGCATAAGTCTGAAATTGCGTAGTGCCCACGAACGAAAGTCGCCCAATAACAGACGCATAGCGAAACGCACCAAGAAATGCTTACAGTACACTCTCACTACATCCACGTACACTTGTGAACGCGTACGCGCGAGTATTATAGGCTACTAACTGTTGCTATGCAGGTCAGTGTCTCCTACAATCCACCCATCAAGCTAGCGTGATCGGAAAGAAATCACCGTATTGTAGTGCCGTTTCCACTTACAAGTAGTTCCAATGACACCCCTCCCCTACACACGCCCACTCCAGCCCCACAGTAAAGCTGGGGCATTAAGCGAACACCGGTCCATCAACGACCGCACGCGGGATGGGCCGGCGAAGAACGCGTGGAGGTGACGAATTCTAAGCGAGCGCATAATGGCATTAAATTGGCCAGACAGGTGACGAGTTGCGGAGGCCGCTGTGCATTTGTGCGGTGTCGGTGCGGACGTCGCTCGAAAGCAGATGCTCACAGAAGGACAGTGAAAGCAAAGAAGACGTGGGGATGAAAGATGATACAAGATAGATAGAGGACCACGCGCAAATTCAAGTGAAAGAAAGACGCAGGGAAGGCAAGATATAAGAAAGATAGGAGGGCACGAGCAAAGTCAAGATAAAGAAAAGAAGGCACGGAGTAGGCACGATACAAGATAGACAAGGGGTCACGAGCGAAGTCAAGTGAAAGAAAGGAAGACACGCGGTAGGCAAGATACAGGGTGGATAAGGGCCACTGGAGGAGTCAATGTTTACACACAGTCAGAAGAGACAGTGAAAGGAAGACATGCTGGAAGTAAGATACAAGATAGATAAGGAGGGCACGAGCGAAGTCTAGTGAAAGGAAGAAAGACACGGGGAGGCAAGATGCAAGATAGATAGGAGGGCACTAGTGGAGTCACTGCTTAGACACGGCTTGAAGGGACAGTAGAAAAGGATGAGCACACACGGGGAGGGAGAAGATGCAAAAGAGAGATAACAGCTACTAATCCAGACACTGTTTAGAAACAACCCGCGCCTCTCTGAAAGGGATGCACACGCAGGGGAGGAGAGATACGTGATAGATAACAGCCACTAGTGTTTAGAATTGGCTCTATTGTTCCGCGGGGACAATACAATACAATCAAGCACCCTCCCGACAAGCAGGGCGAGTGTTTAACCTGTGAATGGGCGGGTGACCAGTGCCAGTCATGCAGGCTCACTGCAAGGCTGAAAGCCGCCTTTTCGGATCCACTTCTTAGAAAGGCTATTGATGTGTACGCCACGGGCGTTAGTGAATGAAGTTAGGCTAGTCGCATTGCGTAGATAAACCCTACCGTGTCAGCCGTATGTAAGTTATGCATAACTATTACCCTATACCATTATATATAATATATAAATATATATATATATATTTTATTTTATTATTTTATGTTGCAACATTTTTTTAACCATGCTAGTAATTTTATGAGTCGTTACTGCGGAGGTATTGAATAATAATATATTATTTTTAACAGGTCTAATATATAATATTTAAACTTATGTAAGGTAATATGTAAAGGATATTACTCCTAATTATAACCACTTATTAAAGAAACTATTGCAGCTGTCTAATTTACTAGTAGCATTGTCTAATGTATAAATCTGTGAACCTAGAAAGGCAGACTTGCTGCACAATGTTATGGGTGACCCATGCATAAATATAACGTACATACACATACTGAGTACTTATAATTACACTGTTAAATACAGTGCCGGGAAGGGCAGGGACAGTTCATATATTGGGCAGGGAAGTATTATATATTATTGGCATGTTTGGAAGAACAGAGCCACAATACGAGATCATGTTGAAATTACAGTTGGCAAATATACTAATATAAATAGGTATCCATTTGGTAGGTTTCTTTAGTATAATGGAGAGAGACAAAGAGAGACAGTGGGGGAATATGGAGAGTGAGAGAGAGAGAGAGATAATGGATAGAGAGAGAGGGGGAGAGAGTGAGCGAGAGAGATAGAGAGAGAGAACGCTGACTTACGGCTCCGTATTCCTTATTCCGGTTGTTGATCTTCTCTCGTTCCCTGTCCGCTAGCACCTTTGTGTACTCCTGCAAGCAGAAGAATCCACTGGTATCGCAAATAACACAATAAAGTTGGTAAAACAAATTGCTTGACACGCTGTGTAGATGTGATGAGATCGGAGCATTTTAGGCCATAATAAAAACATTGTTTGTTCACCCTCACCCGACCGACCTGCCAAAAAGGGGCCGACTCAAAAAATTGTATTGATCTTTCCCACTCTTTTTTTTTTTTACAAATTGTATCACTGTACATTATATAAATCTGTAGGCAATACATTATATGTACCAAGCAGAACAAAGCATTCAACATAAAAGGTATTTCCACACAAGCACACCTGAGCATGTAGACACTATGCTGAATTTGTAAAAAGATCCCCCTCAAAAAAAGAGAAAAAGCCTACCTACCTACCCAAATTTTTCAGCCTGGGTAAGGAGAGGGCAAATAAAGATTTTTTTAATTGTGGCCTTACCGGTCTGTTTTAACATGAGTGCCTCCCCTTCCACCTGCAGTTAGAATATACTGTTAATCCAAAATGACTTTGCTAGTCACACGTATGTACGACGAAATCAGAGAAATTCACCAGTCTATTTCAACATAAGGGGCCACTTTTTCCAAACTAGCTAAGAATTCACTGACAATCCAAAACAATTTTGATATTGATATTGGCAAATTTCGACTGGGAATCTGACATGAGGCAACCTTGTTGGCCCCAACAAAAGAACGTTCAACTCTTGGCGTCCTATAAATATTACTGCACAACGGGAGTGCCGAGTGCATGTAAACCCTGATAGAATCAGCTCAGGTCAGCTTGGGGAAAATCAGTGGGAGATAACCACCACTAAATTAATCCACGTAAAGTAAGCAGACAATCACTGCGGGGTGTTCGCTCCCACGCAAAGATCGTCGCAGCTGTTCGTTTTTAATCGGATCTAGTTCATTGGATTTCAGGATGCACTTACATTTGTAGTAGCTATATTTTAGGATAAATCGATGTCGTTCTAGAGTAGCTGTTAGAAACAGTAGGCCTAAACATTGTAACAGTTACCACAAACTGATGCAACGCACGCTACTAACCAGATACATGAGAGGGTAATCTTACACTACTCACCAGGTACATGAGAGTATAATCTTACACTACTCACCAGGTACATGAGAGTGTAATCTTACACTACTCACCAGGTACATGAGAGTATAATCTTACACTACTCACCAGGTACATGAGAGGGTAATCTTACACTACTCACCAGGTACATGAGAGGGTAATCTTACACTACTGCACCTAGGGTACATGAAGATGTATAATCTTTTACTACTATCCACCTAGGTACATGATGGGTAATCTTACACATACTCACAGGCTACATTGAGCTAGGCGTATTCTTAACACTACTCACCAGAGGCTACATGAGAGTTATAATCTTAACACTTACTCACTAGGTACATCGAGAGGGCTAATCTTTACACTATCTCACACAGATACATGAGGAGGCGTAATCTATACACGACCACCAGGTACAATGAGGGCGCTTAATTTTTACACTACTCACCAGGCTACATGGTAGGAGTATAATCTTACACTTACTCATCAGCGTACATGAGATGCGTAATCTTACACTACTTTCACCAGGTACATGAGGGTGTAATCCTTGACACTACTCCCAGGTACATGGGGAGTATAACCTTCACACTACTCACCAGGTACATGAGATGTATACCTTACACTACTCACCAGGCTATATCGAGAGCTATAATCTTACATCACTACTCACCAGCGTACATAGAGGGCTAATCTTACAACTACTCACCAGCCGTACTGAGGCGGTAATCTACACTACTCACCACGGTACATGAGAGGTAATCTTACGCACTACTCACCAGCGCTACATGAGAGCGGTAATCTTACACTATGGCTCACAGGCGCTACATTGAGTAGCAGTGAGTAATCTTACGCACTACGTCACCAGCGTACATGCAGAGTATAACCTTACACTACTCACCAGTACATGAGAGCTATAATCGTTACACTACTCACCAGGTACATGAGCAGCGTAATCTCTACACTACTCACAGCCCCGTACTCATTGAGAGTATAATCTTCACTACTCACCAGCTACATGAGAGCGGTAATCTGTACACTAGGTCACCCAGGCACATGAGCCGAGTAAAGTCTTACATACTCACAGATACATGAGGTATAATCTTACACTACTCACAGCCGCTACATGAGGCCGTGTAATCTTACACTACTCACCAGGCTAGCATGAGGCGGTATCTCTACACATACAGTCACAGGTACACTGAGGCTGTAATTCTTAGCACTACTCACCAGGTACAAATTTGAGCAGTATAAATCTTACACTACTCACCAGCCGTACATGAGGACGCCGTAATCATTACACTACTCACCAGGCGTACATGAGAGCTATAATTTTACACTAACTCACGAGTACTGGGAGCAGTGTATAATCTTACACTACTCCACCAGTGTACATGAGAGTATAATCTTACAGCTACTCACCAGGTACATGAGGCGGTATATTCATTACACTTAACTCACAGCGTACATTGAGCTAGTATGAATCTTACACTACTCACCCCACAGTACTGAGCAGTATAATCTTTACACTACTCACCAGGGTACATGAGGCGGGATAATTTACGACTACTCACAGGCCTTACATGAGAGCGTCAATCTTTACACTACTCACCAAGATACATGAGCAGGGCTTAATCTTACACTACTCCCAGGTACATGAGGTATAATCTTACACTACTCACCAGCGTAATGCCAGACTATAATCTTACACTATTCAACCAGGCTACATGAGATGTATAATCTTAACTACTCTACCTGGCCTACATGAGTAGCGGTAATCTTACACTATTCACCTGGTACATGAGAAGGTAATCTTACACTACTCACCAGGTACATGAGGGGGTAATTTTACACTATTCACCAGGTACTTGAGGGGGTAATTTTACACTACTCACCAGGTACATGAGAGGGTAATCTTACACTATTCACAGCCCGTACATTGCATGAGGGGGTAATTTATACACTTTACTTCACCAGGTACTTGAGAGGGTAATTTTACACTACTCACCAGTCGACTATGAGAGGGCGTAATCTGTACACTACTCGACCTAGGGCATTAACATGAGAGTGTAATCTACACTACTCACCAGGTACGATGAGAGGGGTGAATCTTACACTACTACCACGGTACATGAGAGCGGTTAATTTTTACCACTTACTCACCAGCGTACATGAGAGTATAATCTTAGCACTACTCACCAGGTAATGAGCAGTATAATCTTATACACACTCACCCAGGGACTACATGAGGGGCGTAATCTTACACTACTCACCATGGTTACATGACGAGGGTAATCTTACACCTACTCACCAGGTACATGAGAGGTACATTCTTACACTACTCACCAGGACCTACATGAGAGAGGCGGTAATCATTACCACTACTCACCAGCGCTACATGAGCGGTAATCTTACACTACTCACCATGCCACGTCTACATTGAGCAGGCGTAATCTTACACTACTCACCAGTACCACTGAGAGCCTATAAATCTGTACACTACTCACCAGTACATGAGAGGGTAAGTCTTACACTACTTCACTAGGCCTACATGAGGAGCTATAATCTTCACACTACCTCACAGGATACATGAGGGGCCGTAATCTACGAGCAGACGCAAGAAGGACAACACACTACGAACAAGAAAACAAACATACTTCACCAGGTACATGAGCAGCGGTATCTTACACTACTCACAGCGTACATTGAGAGGGTAATCTTACACTACTCACCAGGTACATGAGAGGGTAATCTTGGACACTACTCACGCAGGTACATTTTGAGTCGGTATCTTAACACTCACTCACCAGCGTGTCATGAGGAGGGTAATCTTACACTAGACTCACCAGTGAGCATGAGAGGTGATAATACTTACACTACTCACCAGCCGCTATACATTGAGAGCTATAATCTTACACTACTCACAGGTACATGAGAGTATTAATCTTACATACTCACCACGCGTACATGAGAGTGTAATCGTACACTACTCACGCAGCGTACATTGAGCAGTATATATCTTAGCACTACTCACCGCCAGGTACCTTGCAGCAGCGCGTTAATCTTACAGCTACTCACAGATATCATGCAGAGACCGTATCCCTACACTACTCACGCAGGTACATTGCAGAGTGTAATTTACACTGACTCTAACATGCGTACATGAGGGGGGTAATCTTACGCATACTCACTGGTACATGAGAGGGTATCTTACACTAATCACCAGCGCTCACATGAGGGGGAGTATTAATGCTTACACTACTCACCAGTATCATTGCAGGAGTATAATCTTACACTGACTCACAGCCTCATGCAGAGCTGTAATCCCTTACACTACCACCAGTACATGAATGGGGGCTAATCTTACACTACTCACAGGCCTTACATGCAGCAGTATAATCTTACACTACTCACACGTACTTGCAGAGTGTAACTTACACTTCACCTCACAGCGTACATGAGGAGTATAATCTTAACACTACCAGCCAGTACATAGTCAGCGGGTAATCTTACACGACTCACTAGCGTACATGAGAGTATAATCTTACACTCTCACCAGCCCGTAGCATGTCAGAGTATATCTATACATACTCACCAGTATACATGAGGAGTGTAATCTTCACTTACTCACGAGTACATGAGAGTGCTAAATCTTCACTACTCACCAGGTACAGTGAGAGGGCTAATCCTTTACACTACTCAGCAGGCTACATGGAGAGTATAACCCTTAAAACACTACCTCACCAGGTACATTTGAGCAGTGTAATTCTTACACTACCTCACCAGCATACATGAGAGGCGTAATCTTACACTACTCACCGAGGTACATGACAGAGGGGTTTAATCTTACACTACTCACCAGTTACATGAGCAGCTATAAACCTTACACTACTCACCTAGCTACATGATGAGCTGCTAATCTTTACACTACTCACAGGTACATGAGAGGGGCTAACTCTTACATACTCACCAGGCGTACATGAGAGCGTAATCTTACACTTACTCACAGGTACATGCAGAGTATGAACCTTAACGTACTCACCAGGTACATGAGAGTATAATCTTACACTACTCACCATGCGGTACATGAGGCGGTAATCTGACACTACTCACAGTACATGAGCAGGTGTAAATCTTACAGCTACTCACCAGGTACATGAGCAGTGTAATGCTTATCACTACTCACAGCGTACATGCGAGCAGGTAATCTTTACACTACTCACCAGGCTACATGAGAGTTGTAATCCTTACACTACTCACCAGGTACTGAGAGTATAACCTGTGAGCACTACTCACCAGCGTACATGAGGCAGTGGTAATCTTACACTTACTCACCAGGCTATTTGAGGGCGTGAATCTTACACTACTCACCAGATACATGAGCGGGATCTTACCATCCAGTACATGAGCGTATACTACACTACTCACCAGGTACACTGAGGCAGGTAATCTTACACTACTCACAGGCTACTGGAGAGTGTAATCTTACACTACTCACCAGGTTACATGAGGCCAGTGCTAATCTTTCACACTACTCACCAGGTACATGTCAGGTGTAATTTTACACTACTCACCAGGTCATGACGAGTGTATATTTTACACTACTCACAGGTACATGAGGTATAATTTTTACATACTTACCAGGCTACATGAGTGGGGGGGGCCGGGGGGTATCTTACACTACTCACCAGGCTACATGAGCGTGGTAATCTGGTACATACTACTCAACGAGAGGGTACTGAATTATGTAGATGATGGGTAATCGTTACACTTACTCACAGGCTACATGAAGGTTAATACTTACTACTACTCACCAGCGTACAATGAGAGGGTAATCTTACACTACTCACCAGGTACATGAGAGGGTATCTTACACTACTCACCTAGGTACTTGAGGGGGTAATCGTTACACTACTTCACCATGCGACATGAGGGGGCTAATTCTTACACTAACTCACCAGGTACATGAACGTGGGTAATCTTACACTACTCACCAGAGTACATGAGCAGCTATAATCTCTACACTAGCTCACCAGTACATTGAGCGAGTTATAATCTCTTACACTACTCACCAAGCGTACTTGAGAGGGTAATCTTACACTACTCACCAGGCTAACATGAGAGGGGTAATCTTACACTACTCACCAGGTGTACATGAGCAGTATGAATCTTTACACTTACTCACCTAGCGTACAGATGAGCGGTAATCTATACACTACTCACCAGCGTACTTGATGGCGGGATAACTTACACTAGCTCACCAGCATGTGTTTGCCACTGAGCAGAAAGCTAGTAGGCCTGCAGGGCCTATAGCGTCTAAAAGCCTGCAGGCCGCCAGCAAAGCTGTAGGCCCTCCAAATTTTTGCGAGCCAAATTACAGTAATAAAACAGCATATTCATGTTCTTCCTTATGTTTATTAGTTCATTATTCGATGGGTCCATTAATCATAATCCTCATCGTTTTTCCTTCCTTCTCGTTCGGATGGACTGTTTATGCTTCTTACTGGCCCGGGGCTACAATTAAGGAAACGCCACATCGTTGTTATATGGTAGCCTGCGTTAACTACGACCCTTCCACTTTGACAGGCATGAGGACAGACTGTCTAGTCTGTACACATAGTCTGGACTTTCTATGCGGTCTTGGGCGGCCAGAACTATTTTTGTAAAACTTATAAGCATCTGAGATGCAATCTAGCAGCCCATTCATGCGTACTCAATAGCCTTAACAACTAGCAGACACTTTTTGCGTGGGAAAAGCAAAAAATTATGTAATAATTATTAGCTACTGTAAAAATTTTGATGGCGCTCACATGGGCTGTACTTCCGTCTGTGTGAGTGTGTCCAAAGTAAATGTATTTTGTAGACATACAAGCTCTTACGTTTACACTACTCACCAGGTACTTGAGAGTATAATTTTACACTACTTCACAGGTACTTGAGAGGTATAATTTTACACTAGCTCACCAGGTACTATGATGGGCTATCTTACACTATCTCACCATGCCGTACTGAGGCGGCGTAATCTTTCTGCCCATCAGATCTAGCGATCTCTCGCTGCCGACGAGCCCTGAGATTCCTGCGTGCGGAATAGTTCAACACATACTTTGTGCCGCAAGCCTGCCAGGAGTTCGTAGCGCCCTAAAACGCGCGCTGAGTCTTACAACTGGCCCGCTCACACGTCTTAGCGGCCGACTCTGGCGCAGTCCACAGAGCTGAACTCAGCTAAGCTAGCGCTACCTCAGCTAAGCTAGCGCCACCTCAGCTAAGCTAGAGTTACCTCAGCTAAGCTAGCGCTACCTCAGTCTAAAGTCTAGCAGCTTACCTCAGCCTAGCTAGCCCGCTATAGCCTCAGCCCTAAAGCAGGTGGCTATCTCAAGCTATACGCTAGAGTTACCTCCAGCCTAACGCCAAATTGCTACCTCAGCCTAAGCTAGAGTTTAATCTCAGCCCACCTAAGCTAGTGCCCTATCGTCAGCCCTAAGCTAGTGTTACCTCAGCTAAGCTAGAGTTACCTCAGCTAAGCTAGAGTTACCTCAGCTAAGCTAGAGTTACCTCAGCTAAGCCTAAATTCCGGGGGGGGTTCTGGGAGGGGGGGGGGGGGCAGGGTGGGCTGGGGGGTGTGTTGGGGGTTTTGTGGGGGTGTGGCGGGGTGGGGGCGGGGGTGGGGCGGGGGGATACCCTTCGGCTAAGCTAGCCTGCTATCTCAGCCCTAAGCATAGCAGTACCTCAGGCTACAGCTTAGAGTTAAACTCAGCCTAAGCTAGCGTGACCTCCAGCTAGCTTAAGAGTTACCTACGGCTTAACGCTAATAGTTAACTCAGACTAAGCTAGCGGTTCATCTCAGCTAGCTATGCTACCTCGGCTAGCGCTAGTGCTATCTCAGCTAAGCTAATGCTACCTCAGCTAAGCTAGCGTGACCTCAGCTAAGCTAGAGTTACCTCAGCTAAGCTAGTGCTACCTCAGCTAAGCTAGTGCTACCTCAGCTAAGCTAGAGTTACCTCCAGTGCTCAAGTCCTAGCAGTTTACCTCAGGCTATAGCTTAGGCCGCTGAGGCCTCAGCTAAGCTAGAGTTACCTCAGCTAAGCTAATGTTACCTCAGCTGAGCTAGCGTTACCTCAGCTAAGCTAATGCTACCTCAGCTAAGCTAGCATGACCTCGGCTAAGCTAGAGTTACCTCAGCTAAGCTAATGCTACCTCAGCTAAGCTAATGCTACCTCAGCTAAGCTAGCGTGACCTCAGCTAAGCTAGAGTTACCTCAGCAAGTAGAGTGCGTACCTCAGCTAATGCTAGCGTGCACCTCAGCTAGCTAGAGTTACTCTAGCCTAAGCTAATGCCCTACCTAACAGCTTGATCGTAGCGCCCGACTCATGCTAATGCTGCAGTTACCTCGGCCTAAGCTTAGCGTTACTCTAGTTTTTTATAGCTAAACGCACTATCTCAAGCCCCTGAACTAGTGTACCTCAGCTAAGCCAATGCTACCTGATCAGCTATTGAAACTAGTACGTGAGGAAAATCGCGGCAACTCTCTTTCCAACAAGCTTATGTAAGGCAAAACTTTACGTCGTTAAGTCGGTAGCGGTTGACATTGGCATGTTGTTGAGTGCAGTAATAGCGTTTAACTCTCAGAGATGCAGATATTGTAATCTAAGAGAAACGTACAATGAAATAAAATTAATTTTCATTAACAAGGGTAATTACCAAGGTCGCACTCCAACTCCGTTACTACGCCATGCTCCAGCAGAAATCTTCTCTCCTGTATGTCCACCGCGTGTCGTGTCAAGTCTGAAAAAACGTGAAACGCACCGCATTCGTTAAAGATCCCCCGACGCCACGATTCGTTCTTACCAAGTTGGCGGCATGGAAACGGAAAACACGTGGTCTTCGTTAAAGATTTCTAGACGTCATGATTCATTACAAGACGACTCTACTGTCTGCACACGAGAGTGCATCGTACGTATTTCTAACTCACTACTTTTACACTGGATATTTTCAAAGTGGAAGCAGTGCCTTAAACGGTTTGGAAGTGGTTTGTTGGCAACGTTTTTGCTTCTGAGGAATTAGGGATGCCCGCTGCGTCTATCGGACTAACAGGAATTTATGGCGGTGCATTGGAGAAAAAAAAATGTTCAGTATAGGGTCAAGACATGTGAAGGAATGAACTCGAAACTTGAAAGAAAAAACTCAGCAAAACCTGCGAGGGTGGAGACTTGTAAACGAACGAATGCACAAGCAAACGAACGCACGAACAAATTTACACAGGAATGCATGCACGTACTTACTCGCTTACTCACTCACTCGCTCACTCACTCACTCACGTACAGATAAATAAACAAGACATGCAAACAAACAAAGGAACAGATGAACAGGCAAAGAGAAAGATAAACAAATGAACAGACAAACAGACACATAAACGAACAAACGGACTTGACCGACAAATAAATGAATGAACAGACAAACAGACAAGCAAAAGAACGGATGAACAGACGCACAGACAGACAGACAAACAAACGAATAAACAAAAGAACGGATGGACAGACAAAGCGACAAGCAAAGGAACAGACAGAATGACAGACGAACGGAGGAACAAAGGGACGCTCGTACCGGGGTACTTGCGCTTGAATGACTTCACGGCCAGATACTCGCTGATCTGCTCCTGCAGGAAGTAGCGCTCTCCGGACTTTGTGCGCGGCCACTGATACTCGAACAGCTTCTCCACGGGGAACGTCGCGTGCCTGCCGAAAACCCACAAATCCCATTACGTCATCGCTCTCTCTCGCTCGCGCGCTTGCTCACTCGCTCCCCGCCGCCGCGCCTCTTCCCTCCCCCTCACTAACCTGTCACGGTTGGCGCGTTGCTCGCTCGTGACAGGCGAATCTGATCGAGGTAATTCGTGCGTCCGCACGAGGCGGAGTAATGCGTTCCAAATGTACGTGGACAACCGAGTGGTCGACTGCGCAGTAAGTTAGTCTTACTGAGCGACTAAGTGACAGAGTAGTGGCTAATTAAGCGCACGCTAGCACGTAAAGCAGCTTAAGCGTTACATTACGGCAAACAGAGAATGTCGCTGTATCGCCGAAAATTGACATGACATGATAGTACAATACTGGCTCAACTAACCTTTACATAATCACCGGCCATGAAACGCCGCGTTGACACATATTTTATTTTTATGCGACTGAGAGACAAATCCACGAATAATAATATTGCAATTCAGTTATGGCAATATTCTCGCACTTAAATATTATCGTTTTAAATTTAATTGTAATTATAGTTATAAACAAACTGCATTGCACCCGGATATTGCAAACTTACATTTTGTTATTAGGGGTTTCACATCAGTATAATACTAGAGAAAAGATTCTGTGTATATTGTTTGTACCACATTTATTTTATTTTACATTACGTCACTGATTACCATAAGCTTGCCTGCTGCTTTGTGACGACTTGAATAACGAGGTCCAACCACGTACTGTTTCCGTGACAACACTACTCTGTAACCTCACAAAAAATGTGTAAATGAACGTTAGAGTCGTTAGCCTAGTTCTAAGCTCGGCAGATGGCGCCACATTACCCAACAGACAGGACGCTGTCCTCGTCAACGGGTTTCGCTGATCGTCGCGACTTCTGTGAGGAGAACGACGACTGGGAATCTTCCTGGTCCTCGTATCCTTCCAGTACGGGAATCACGGGCTTCTCTATTGAAGCTGGTCAGGGAAAAAATAGTTTCCCTGAGTCACGTGCCGAATCTCAATCGAGGTCAGAAATCACGGGCGATAGATGATGTGCCGGATCGGACAAAACTGTTCCATATATATTTTATATTATATAGGGTTACTATTATTAATTATTAATTGTTTTATTGTTTATTTTTTATTCACTTTTTATATTAAACAAGAAGAGCAGCAATTCGTTTTAGCAAAATCGTATTATATCTACGTCATGTTTCAAATCGGCTAGCTGCTTAGTGCCAATTTTCACGGGCACCATCGCAAGTAAGGAGGGATCCCACAGGTCTTGTTGGCACTGCCATGGATAAATACGCATTCTCCGGCCGATGTACGGCTGCCGTACTCACCACCCGCGTCGCTCAGGTTGGTTTTGCTCGACTGGAGATACGAACTGTCGTACATCATCAACGACTCTTCGCCGGCTTCCAGACTCTGGTCCGCGGGGTTCGACACGTCCGCGGTGGAAAGCTGCATCGCTGCCGTGCCTTCGTCTGCCTCTGGCAGCTCTTGCAAATTCTGAAAAATAAGAACCATCTACGTGTTACGCGTCTTAGCTCCCGACATCAACGTAGATTTCTTTATCGTTCACATCATACGTTGTTCGTATGCTGCAATGGTCGCACATGGGAGCAAACTGGGTTACACAAATGCGCCATCATGTAACAAACAGGATCAGTCAATTGATCCGATATATTAAAGTGGAATCACCAAAGATTTTTCAACAGATTCTTGCTTAGTATAGGAGATAAAATCTACATGCACCGCTATCTGAATGAAGTTTATTCTAACAAGACGTTCCGAGTCACACTGCAACATCTTCAAGGACGGCGCTACATGAACAAACTTTCCCGGAATACAATGTTTAAAGGGATTTTGAATTTATTTTGGCTCACTCACGGTAATTCTCGAGGAGGGATCCATCTCAAATAACACGCTCGATATGGATACGTCGTCTTCCGGCGCTAGTACCGTCTGCGCAATATCGCCCGTGCCCATCAAATTCTCCACGGCCACGTCTGCGTAGGTGGTACCCCCTTCGAACTGCACATCGTCGGAGATCTCGGGTATCAATTGTTCTCGATAGGTGGCGCTCTCCGATGTTTCCGCGCGCTCGGTGACATCTTTCTGTGGGAACGAACTCTCGTCATACGGCGTCTTGCCAGGGTCGCTGTCAAACGCGTGTTCGGGTTCGTGCGCGTGCATGGAGTTGAGAAGCGCAGACTGAACGCACGTCAAGTTCTCCACCATGCCGGCCGTCTCGGGATTTAGAGAGTCCGGCGCCTGTAAATCGTCGGGCATTTCCACGGCCGGAGGACACGACATCGTCTCCGGGATGGAGTCATCTGGAATTTCGCCGGCTGTTACGTCAGACATTACGCACTCCTGAAACGAAGTTTAGTTGATGAACCATGAGCATCATTACTATTGCATTGTTTTTGTTGTTATCTGGTTGATCTCTTTACGTGAGAGTAGTACTTGTAGTAGTCATAGTGCCAATACTTTCACTGTGTACAATCGAAACACTGTTGACTGTTGTTAATGTTATCACACCTAGTAAACTACTGCACATGTGTACCCTTGTTTACGTCCGTTAATTAATAGATGCGTATTCTTGAGAATGTAATTACGTCAGCAACGTAGTTAATCACACGTAACGTTATTGATTACTATGTCAGTAGTTAGTACAACTGTACTATGTTGTGTACAGTACTACAAAAGTGCAATGTTATTTCCGAGCACATACGAATGATGGGCCAAGTTCACTGTCCGTATACATAAACTACTCATTATCACCACACTAGCTCTTTAATTCTACCTAATAATATTCATGGCTTTTCAAAAACTGCAATTACTAAGTTATAATTGTGGTACATACGTTTTGATCGCTTTTGTTGTGTAAAATTTCGGTTTCTACAATACCGCTATCGGCCATATTTGATGCTTTATTATTGTAGACGGACACGTTTAGTTGCTGCTAACTTAATAATTAAGGGAAAGGACGAGCGGGGCCATCTTTCCTATAGGCATCATCACTGTCGTCACTGTGATCACGAATTTTTTTCTTCCTAAATTTTCATTCTTTTATTTAGTGAACTCTTTATGACAAAAATCTAACAAAGAAACTACTTGAAAAATATATTTCGTTGCATTTTCTTGACGATTTTACTAAAATCTCAAATATGATGGCGAGTACAAAAATCACCGTATTTTAATGGATTTACGAGAATGTTTGAAACGTAACATTAGATTTGAGAAGTTAGGTACAAAATTACACCCTCCGCAGTACGATAACCGATATGAATAGAACGTTGCGGAGCAAGAATGTGAAATGCTGAAGGCGGGTACAAGAATGGCGAAGGAAGAAATAATTGTGATAATGAAAGAGTGTACGTGAGAGTACGTGGCACGTGGAATTTTCACTTTATAAATTCCTCCCGCTCCCTCCTTCTCCCCTTGGCTTCTTTCTTGCTTTCCGAGTCCCTTCCAAACACTCAAATATATACACACGTACGTATACGCACGTACACACGCACACGTACCGCTACTTTAAAATAGCTTTATTATAATTAAGAATAATAATAATATTAATATTATTATCATCATCATTATTAAATCTTTATTGCATATAATTAAAATACAAGTACATGTAATGACAAGTGTTTTTCACAGAGAAAAAATCTGTTGATCGCAATTGTGTTAAGCTGTTAAAATACTATAATTTCCAAGTAGGCCTAATTCAATACATTATAATATTTAGGCCTATATATATAATATTATATATATTTATTATATACATTTTATATGTACTTATTACACAGGGGCGTGTACAGGGGGGGGGGATCCATGCAGGGGGCCGGACCCCCCGCCCCCCCCCCCTGCTCGCGCAGAAAACGCATCTAAGGGGGTCTAATTTCAAAATGTTTGTGGGGGAAGGCCCCCAGACCCCCCCCCCCTTCGCGTGCTCGCAAGTTAGATCCCCCCTGGTACAAATCCTGTACACGCCCCTGATTACATACTATAACATATTGCAATTCAATCATGCATTCCGGTACACTTATCTCTCCGCGCCTACTATTTCGTCGTGCATCGATCACATCACTGCAACCGTATTTCGCAGGTAAATGGAGACGGGCGGCTGGCTTCAGGGACTCCCCGACGACGACCTGGTCGCGCTGAGCGCCGACGTCGGCTCCGACTGTTCTTCCTGCAGCATGCCCGGCAGCGGCAATACCTCCCTGGAGGATCCGCAGCAGGGAAGCTGGAACAGCAACGGCGGCAGTAACACATGCAGAGCCCTGCGCTGCGACCCGATGCCGCCGCTGCTGCCGCCGCCGCCGCCATACATAGACGACGCAAACTACGCGACGCTGAACCCGATCGGTCACGTGACCGCCGCGCAGACGCCGCTGACGCACGCCATGGCAACGAGCTTGACGCAAGAGTACGCGCTAAGCAACCACCACCACCATCATCAGCAGCAGCAGCAACAGCAGCAGCAGCATCAGCATCAGCAGAATCAGTATCAGCAGCAACTTCCTCTTGTGCAGAGTTCCCCTCAGGAACTCGAGGCTTCCTCTCTGCTCCCCGGGAGTTTATACGGAGGGCAGGACCTGATCGAGGGATCTATGACCATGAGCGAGCTCGCGCCGCATAACCATGACAACGCTGCGAATCAGCAGATGTACTTCTCCCCGTGGCACGACGCCTCCGCCGTCTACCCTCCCCCGCAGGAACCCTCCGTCGCATCCGCACACATCACGGGAGAGCACGCCGACGCTCTGATGACGTCATACTACGGCGGCGACGCGAAGCAGCGATTCCAGACGTCGCCTCCGCAGAGTCTGAGTGGGCTGAACACGAGCGACATAGAGAACAGTACGACGATAGCGCACTACCAACCGCGAGACGTCATACGGAAGCGGAGAAAGACGATGGTGCCCGTGGACAGGAAGGACGACGGCTACTGGGAGAAGAGGAGGAAGAATAACGAATCGGCAAAGAAATCCAGAGAGTACAAGAAGGACAGAGAGAAGAAGTTTTTCCGGCGCGCCTGTGAGTTGGAACAAGAGAATCAGATGCTCAGGGAGCGGATAGCAGAACTGGAGACGAAGATGATATCTGCTGCCAAAGATTGTGCATATGCAAACATGTGAGGTGTATTCTAAAGGCCTTGTGTATTTCATCGCCCTATGTAGTCAAATGTCAAGGCGTTATTATATTATATCAAGAGCTAATAAATACCTATTATTATTACTATTATAGGTATTTATTAGCTCTTGATTATATATATTGCCTTAATTAAATATAACATTGTCGCGCCATCTATCGAGAGAAATAATCTATAAGCGCATAATTTTTATTATTATATGCATATTAGATTAGGTTCTTACCAAAGAAATACACTTCATAGAATATCGAGTATTATATTTCTATGGTTCTTACTAGGAAATGTTGAAATGCGTTGGAAAGCCAAACTATATATTTATAGTAAAGTATTCTTGTGGTATGTGTAGTCATACGTGTATGTCATTTAGTGAATATCGTAATTAGAATCGTGTCACTGTTTAAACATTATAGTAGGTGTAAAGAATGTTTGTCGTAAATTAATGTACTTTTTTTGTATCTGGTAATAGCGACTTCTTGTAATAAAGATAAGCATTTCAGCACGGACAAGCTATGTGTATATAGCTGTGTTAGACTGTCCTTTATACGTGGTTTTCATATCACATGTATTTATATATCATTACATAAAACTAAGCAGCCATAATAATATAATATATAAGGTACCATAATTGTAATTGTATTATAGACGTTTGATAAAATATTATTTGATATTTGATGTTGAGATTTGATATTATTCTGAGCAAAATGATCGCGAGTTAGATACACATGGAAATCACGAGCATAGAAATCGTAACTGCGAATCGTATACATTTTAACCACGATTGTTGTAGATGCCCTTCAGACTTTTTAACTTGGTCTTACTTTTGTATTTAGTAGAACTAAGCCGAATTCGTCGTACTTGTAATCAGATTTTTTCCATAACATAACTAGTGGCGTACTCGGCGGATGTCTGTGGGTTGTTTTAGATGGACCAAGATCAATTCTCGGCGCGCGTAGTTCTAATGCAGCCGTAGCTTGTGAAAGTAGTGCGGTACACACACGTACACGCACGCACACGCACACACGCACGCACACACACACACACACACACACACACACACACACACACGCCACGCACACGCGCACGCACACACACACACACACACACACACACACACAACACACACACACAACACACACACACACACACACACACACACACACACACACAGACAGACACACACGTGCGCGCGCACACACACACATATGTATGTGTATACACACCACACACACGCACACGCACGCACGTGCATGCAAGCACGCGCTTACACATACGCACACATGTGTACACACACACGCACGCGCGCCCAACATACCTTACACACGTACGCGCACATACAAACATTCTGCTTATATACACCCTGAAGGTTTGGTCATTTTCATTACAGCTGTCAAATTTACAACACCTAAACGCTGATTCAGTTAATCAATTTTTAATTATAACTAATTGGTAGTGATTGATTCTACGCTCTCGTATTTGCCACAAAGCGCATCTGTAAAACGAAGTTACTCTTCAGTTGAGGTAAATACTTTATTTCACATGAAGCCAAATCCAATCGCTCGAATGAGAGAGAGCTCATTCGATTTCCATTGCTTTCCGTTCTTTTGAATTCCACTCTTCCATTTCTTTGAATTCCATTCCTTTCCATTTTTTTAAATTTCATTCTTTTCAATTCTTTTCAAATTCCGTTCTTTTTCCCTCTTTTTGAATTCAATTCTTATCCACTCTTTAGAATTCCATTCTTTTCGACTCCTTATAAAAGGCGGAAAGGCGAATCGTCATGATGTCGTATCAGCAGACACGCGCCGTTCAAACTGTCGTCGGCAATCAGCCGACTCGTGCTCTTCCACACAACTTCCGGTCTAAAAATGCAGCAGAAAAAAATAAAACGTAGCAGGCGCGCATATAGGATCGTAGAAAGGGCGCGCAATGTTTTGGTTATGTTTAATTAGTCGGATGTTATATATGAGCGCAACTCATATAGCAACTCATAAGGAATAAGAGCAGTAACGTAGCAGTAATGCACGTGGAGTCATGCATTTAGTGCTAATTGTTTATAGTGCGATATAAATTTCACTATATANCAGTGCGATAGACCGGGAAAATCCGACGACGCCAAACTTGGTTCCCGCGTAGGCTGGGATGTACCAGAGAGGGGTTAGTCCTGTCAAAGGATAAGGTAGTACGTCAATTATCAAATCACAAGTGCCAATTTTACATGTTATTTCGCTGCTTCTCTGTAGAAAGCCCTGTATACACCAGGAGAAAGAAACGTGCAAGAGCTGTGTACTGTAACAACTGCCAAATATTTAGCAGCATCCCGCCACAATCCTTCTCATATGCTATAATGTACATAGGAATGCCGCTCGCGTCGCCTGTCGGGCTGCTAGCCAACCTAACCTCATTCGGCCAAACTTATGCACTCAAAATGGGCAGGGGTATGCCCGCGAGTGAAATCCGATCTAAACATTTTACTTCAGCCCCAGCATCCCGCTACACCCCTACTTTCCACTACTACCCCGTACCCAGTTCCCGTTTGCTAAAATACATGAGTAATGGCACGCGGATCGCTCATCCATGCATATATACTGCAGCATATTTTAGAAAGCAAAGATGGCAACAATTGTTTGAGACTTAATAATAGATAAATCTATAACTAGGGTTTCTGAACTAATGAATATATGAATAGATAATATGATTAGAAATGAAGCAATAGATAAATAGCTATATTAAAAACTATACAATAGATTAATATATTAGAAACTAAACAACAGCTAAATAGATTAGAAATTAAACAAGGGATAAGTAGACTAGAAATTAAACAATAGATAATTAGAGAAGAAACTATACACTAGGCAACTAGATAATATATTAAACAATAGATAGAATACAAACTATACAATCTATGAATAGATTAGAAACTAAACAATAGCTACTTAAACTAGAATCTAAACAGTAGGTGAACTAGATAGGCGGCACTACGATGGAAACAAGATGGCGACTGCAGCAAGACCTCCAAGTGATGACACGTTGACGACGATGCCTCCATCGAAACCGTGACATTTTCCCATGTACTTCAGCGCCAGCATGGTTCCCGTGATGACGGCAGTCTGCAGAACATGACAAACACACTGTAACCCTTCCCGTAAATATCTTGTAGACGTGTGGCAGGTAGTCCCACGTTGATCAGCATGAGGCATCATGTTGACCATCACATGGTTCTACGTTGACCACCAATGGCGCCACGTTGACCAATAGGGACACCAAAATTACTACCAGGTGGCACCACGTTGACCAACAGGTGGCACCACACTGCCTCAACGCTTACTCTACTCATCGGCAGCAAACCAACGAAGGAGTTGATACAGAGGTCGCCCTCAGCGGCGGATTTAGGTGGGGGGGCCGACCCGGCTCCGGCCCCCCTTTGAATTCAGGCAAAAAAAAAAGAGAGAGAGCGAGAGAGCATACTTAAAACGGTACGCGTCACACAGATACATAGTTACACCATTTGCGGTATTTCGTTTCGTGTTTTTGCCCTGGACTGATTTCACTGGAAGCAGCCTGCCCTACGAGCAGACGACAACACGTGTAGGACCAGTTCGGTGTAACGATTCATCCCTGTTAGTAAGGCTGAGAGGGTCTATGTCCCCCGGGGTACTGCCGGAACGTACCCTGGTACTATCTAATATGCCGAAC